CTAGAATTAATACTCTTTGCGAACGTGGTTTGCACAAGCTTTCGCACTTTCTTCGGTAGCCTTACAAATAATAGTATTTACAGCCATATCTATAGGTTTGAATGTCATTTCAGGTTTCAATAAGATCGCCCGTTGCGTGATGGAAGTGATTTTATTACATTAGAAGCGAAATTGCAAGTTCCCATGAGCTTAGAAATTTACAGGGTTAAAGAGAGTCGTACTTGTTTTCAACATAGCTTTCGCGAACAAAAATTTACGTCAGTGGGCTGTGGCCAGTATGAACATTCAGTGTAATTTAAAACTGAGTAAAAAGCCAGGGCATACCTTAGAAGTGTTAAGGGATATGTCTATTAGCTACTGTCTTTCATTTCTATGCGCACTATGTATACATGACCATTAAATCGATCTTCATAACCAAACGCGTTACTAAACTAAATGTATTATTGAATGAGACACTGTAAAACAATGAAAAAGGATGGCGTGCGCAGCTGAAAAGTAAAAAAAGAAAGTAATAACGATTTAAAAAGGAGACGCGCCTGTTGGTTTTGGCACAACACGGAACTGGTGAAAGTAGTGTTTTGTTAATTTTTTATTAATTCTTCCGGTGTAGCGTTTTAGTGAGTGTATGTCTTAATATAAGCGTATCCATTAATAATCCAACAGTTATTGTTGCTGGATATTGTACACTGATATGTTTCCGGCGGACCGTCCAATTACCCACCGTGTCTTCGTTGGGGGGGGGGGGCAAAACATCTCTAGAGGATGATGATGGGGACGCCTTCTGATAGGCCCCTATAACGTATTAGATACAAAGCCATATTGAAACTTTGTACATTTATCAGGAGTGGGATTCAAATCAGCCTCCTTCAAGTTACAAGTGCGCTTCCTTAGCCACCCCAACACCTGCCCCCCTGGCGGCGCAGGGCCGCAGCTGTCTGCTGCGCTTACCGGACGCACCCTCACCGTCTTCGGGGCCTCATACAATGCCAGCGGTCACTGGCTTCATGTCAAAGAGGGCAACACTTGTAAATCACCTGTTACCCTCTCAGTTCTTCAACATCTGGGTGTCACAACCTCAACACCGACTGGCACCGACTGGAGGTGAATTCAAAATGGCACGAAGCATACATTTTTATCCGTTTTGTTTCCATGTCATTCCTTGTATTTCTCGGAAATATATCACAAGACCTCAGCCTCTAGACAGCGTATAAATACAGACAAAATGCACTTCCACGTGATTCAGTTCCAGAGTAATATGTAATGAATTCAATGTGCAAAGCACACCGCTTTTAACAGAGCATACCAGATATAAAGGACTAAAGTAAAGCCCGCATTCTGTTTAACACGCTTGTGCGTTAACTCGCCTTCTCTGTTTCTGTCATCAGCTAAAGCTTTCTGAAGCCCCTAACTGGCCGCAGTGGCCGTATAACGGAGGGCCGTGCTGCTCTTTGTCATCCGTATGGTTTTTTAACGTCTGCTGAGTTGCGAGCTGTACGCGAACTGTGCTAAAAGGCGCTATACCAAAATATTTAAAAAAAAATAATAATAAAAAAACACGTGGACACGAGGAAGCCGGCTCTTAATTAAATACAGTGCTCTTTCAACCTTTAGCATCTGTTGAAACTGGTTTGTCCATACTGTCACTTTCAGATGCTGGCACTAAATTCATGTCCTTCTGCTGTTTAATGCAAAAATATATTTTGTATGCTACTGAGTGAGCAGTCAGTGAGGCCATTACTTTTGTTGGTCATACAGTGAAATATTATTAGGCCTATTATTATTAGCAATAGCAATAATATCAAGAGTGGTATATAGTCTGTACATGTGTATACAATATTGTCTGTATTGTACTGCCTTCTAGTAACAGTTAATTTTGGAGGGAAATTGTTCTTCTGTGAAATTAACCTTTAAGTATAGTCAACTGAAAAACTAAAGACACTTCAAGTCCAACAATACACTGAGTGACATAAATCAAGGAACTCAACAAGTGTTACAATATCGTGCCTCAGCTTGGAAAAGTTAACGTTTGTTATGGCTTTAACATCAGTATTTGTAATCAAAGCATTTCCCGCAGCTTATGTAATGTCAGAATTAGTATTTTCTCCCGAGAGTCGTTATGCGTGTCCATTAAAGGAGGCAACGCGCATTAATTTTATTTTTATATATCATCAAAGCTCAGCGTTCAGGGGGTTTAATCTATACAAATATATGTATATGTTGGGGATTGTGTGTCACGGTAAGGGATCAACGTGCCGGAAGGAGATTCGTTTAATTTGCGAGGTTTACGCTTGCGCTTCAAATCGTCGTAACGTGGCGTACGTCTCATACGCCGGTATAAATCTCCCAAATCAGTATGATAAAACCATTACTGTCATCACAAAATATATTGTTTTCGTATACGAAAAGAAAAACCATGCCTTTTTCGACATTGTTTCCATTCTCACTGTCAAAAAATCAAATTAAACCAAACACAAAGAATGTAGGCCCAGGTCGCGGCTAATTGTAAGAGGACCCAGAATCAAATGAGATCAGAGAGGCAATTAAGGCCATTTTAAAGGTCTAATGAATAAGGTCGCATCCTGATGGACGCAATCTCCAGCACGTTACCCAAGCGACTTAATTGATCGGTCATCCGTTTAAACATTACCTTTCTACACCATATTATATTATTATTACGATTAAAGAAAGATATACACATTGTCTGAATAGAAGTAGATCATGACGAAAGCTCAAAATGATCAGCTATATCATATCTAGCACGAGTTTAACCTATATGTCGCGCCAATCTTTTAATGTTACATTCTCTAAAATCAAGTAAATTTGTTGTCAACGTCTTGATCCTGTGCTTACTCCGTATACCCTTAATGGCATCAAATTTAAATTACAATTCAGTTAATATAGCACAAATTAGGTTGCTGGCCTTTGTATGAGTTTATCAGCCTGCAAAGTTTGCGGGCCAGTCTCAGAGGGGCCATTTCTTCCTTCAAAGATGAATTTGCAAAAGCAACGAAGGATAATCTTACTCTATTCTTGCGATGTTTGAATAAACACAGTTCCATATCTTCATAAATCAATTTGTATGCTAATAATATACCCATGGGAATCTACGGTAATCGCACTATCGTACTTTATTGGTATAGGTCTAAATATATTTTGCACTTCTTTTCTAAGCATGCTGTTCCATGAAATCTGGCGTTTTGTGAAATATAAACAATAGCTTTTAAGATCAATTAAGCCGTTGGCTTTTGCATGTCGTTCACTTTTTCTTAATATTTAAAGTTGATAATTAGCGCAAAGGAACGATTTCTTAGAATAGCAAAAACTAATACCAAAATGTAGAATCAGCCAGAATTTTAATCAGCTGCCTCTAGTACTATATCCCCCTCACGTTACACTTTAAAAATAACACGTCGTCAGATACTGAAATTACAGGCTATAACCAGTCTAAACAGCCAATTATATAAACCGTTTAATGTAAATGTAAAAAAGGAATAATTTCGGCAAAATGTTCCTTTCTATTACCCAGTAATGAAACAAAAGTGCTGTGTTTCTTAACAAAACAGGTAAATCGGCCTCAGAGAATTGATTCTCGCTCTTCAAGTAAGTGGATTTAATTAAAGATTTTGTTATTGTGTAAAACTCACTTAAGTCGTATGGTTTCGACAGAGACACAGTTTAATCTAACAGGAGGCAATACGCTGAATATTTATGTGCTGAAAGAAAGCTTTTCAGTTTTGATGAAACTGTTTAATTATGTGATGTCAATCGGTTGTTTATGAAGACCCGGCGACCTTAGAGAATAGTACACGCCTGGAGCGTATAAGCATACATGATTTAGTTGGGTCTGCGTAGCTTTGTTGAAGTTGTTTTACACGACTCTACAATGCACTTTTAAAAAGCGCTTTCACGAACGTCTCAATTGCTTCGCTTGTACTTTGGCGGACGGGGGGCGGCGTATGAACTGAAGTGGAGATTAAACAGCGAACAGTGATAGATCGCGGAAAATAAAATATCAAAATACAACATGATGAAATTCGGCAAGCTGAAATACTGTGAGATTTGTAGTATTCAAATAAAGTTCGACAAATCGACTTCTTCTTTGCGGTACTCGCAATTCTCACAATTTTCCAAGCAAACTAAGTGCTCAAAAGTCTAATATTAGACCCTATTTATTGATTTTTTTTGTTTATATTAAATTTTCATTACATTCACAGCTCAATCGCGACGAATCACCCCAGTAGTTAAACAAGTCATTTTAAAAATGCGTTTGGCGTTTATGCTATAGGCCTATATACTGTTTATACTATGTATACAGTTACACCCTAATACTTCGTGCAATCGGCAGAAATTCATTTTACCAAAACACAGAAAGATATGCATAACAATGGATAAATTAATTAAACAAGTAAATGGTATGAATAGAAGGCCTATAGCCCACCTTTACCGAGATGCAGTGTCCTGGAACTTTGTATTTACAATATAAATCATTTCAATTGCATTTTCATTAGTTAAAATTCTAATGCATGGGCGTAATTAGCAATCATATATATACCGGTATTGTACTACACAGATTTAAACGATCTCTCCGACAAACATCGTCCCCACGATAAAAATGCAAGAGGAATATTTTCTATGCGCATGTAGTTTAATTAAGAAATAAACATGTTGGGGAAAAGTGTGTAATGTTACGCTCAATAGGTGTTAATTACACGGATTAATCTCCAGGTATTCTCAGTACTGCTGGTGTCGGTGCCGCAGCTACAAGGACCTGAATCCCCGGGCACAGAAGGCCTTGTGTTCTTTTGTTGGAGTTCAGTCACGGGTGTTGAGTCGGCGCTGGTGCTGTATTGTCTGACGGATCTGCCTGTGTGGTAGGAAACAGATGGTTGTAGAGACGGTGACGTTCCTCAGAGGTGGATAAGGTAACGGAAGATCTCTGATTTGTTCACCTGTCACGTCTGCTTTGAAGATCGTATAGTCTCATCGGCTTTTTTTTTTTTTTTAACAAAGACCTCGCAGTTTACTGAGAATAAAAATACACTCGTTTAAACTTTAAACACAAATGTCTGTATGCTTGTGCAGTTTCTTTTTAATTCTTATTAAATGTTACTTGGATATAATATTTGACTTGGTATACCATCTTGGGTTCTTCAGAGCTGATTTATGTTATATAAAAAACAATGTACTGATAACACATTTATAAATGTTTCATAAATTAAATGTAGGAAAATTGTAATTATGATGGTGATTTTCTTTTTATCGAAACAGGAAATAATTTAAACAACAAACTCGAAAATATTTGTTCTACCAACAGCGACTCCTTTTACTGCGCGTTTAGTGCATCTATCAATATTTAATAGAATCCTTGCAGTAAGGTACACCTTAAAAATTAAGGAACAAGACTTCCTTGAATCAGTGTTTCTTCACTAGATCTTCTTAGCCTTGACTAAACTGCCATGAGATTAGCTGAATTGGATACATTAGCCTACTCGAGATGCAATTTTCCGGTCCTCCTCGCAACCAGCGACTTAACCCCGCAGCCCTCCCAAACATCAGAACACCGCCGCCAGCTCCTTCGCAGTGACGAAAAAGTACAATTGGCGTCTCCCGCGTCTCTCACTGCGTTTGTATGGCGCATCTTAAAGTAACAGCACATACACAAACAAGAAGCTGGACATTATTATAGCAGAAATGCAACACAGAAGTGCAACAGAAGCAACAACAGCATGCTATTCGTAAGCAGAAGTAATAATAATAATCATCATCATCATCATCATAACCATCATCATCACTGGCGAAATGGGTGGCAATCCAATTGAATACTCTGGGCATAGCTAAAAATTACTTTCTTTCAAATAAAAAGAACTTAAAATAAGAAAACCCACGGATGCTGACCAACCAACAGCGCGAGAGATTGGGATGGAAGTCCAACTCCCGCTATACCCCCTCGGCCCGTCGATATATTAAGATTTGGGTGACGTTAAGCGGCCAATGAGCGTGCAGGAGGGGGCGTGACGCGCTCTTCCCCGTAGAAAAGGCGCGGAGTGTAGCTTAGGTCGGGAGACAGTGGAATAGGAATAAAGGCTGGCAGCTTTCTGCTGGAGTCTTACCGGGGATTATACAAACTCAATGTATAGACAACTCCTCCTCCTCAATTACTCATCCACAGATCTGCTGGCACGGGAGAGAGGGAGAAAAACTTCCTAAGAAAACAGCTCCTTTAAGCATTGCGAGCCTGCAAGCAACATCTGATAATAACATCTGATTTCATCTTCTATCAATCGTCACTATATTTTTTCTTTAGTGTCATTAGTAGTACACACTTGCAGGAGCATCGCCAGAACTGCATCTGCAGTCTGCGTTTTTGTGTTTTTGCGTTTTCTTCGTGACATTGGCAGTGAAGAAGTGACAGGAACAAGGAGATACACTCACCAACTACACGCCGCTTCTACTCTCGCCCATTCCTCCTGTTGTTATGGGGATATTTTTGACGGTACAGGCCGTCAGCGTTGTATTTTCCCAGCTATAGATGCAATATCTGCGAGCTGCTTCTTTCAACACTTCTTTCTAAATAACTAGAAAGAAAAAAGAAAATATCGCTTCAACGAATTTCTTGCAGAATGTACTAGCTGCTGAATACTGAAGACACTGGAAGAGAACGCGGTAACAGACTTCTGCAGCTGCCACCGAATCTCCAATTGCTGGTATGTTTTATTGGTCTTCTTAGGAATTTTTACGCATATAATTTGTATGTATTCCTTGCCCTTAACGAGGACAGTTGAAACGCATATTCTGTGCACAGAAAGTAAAAGTTTCAAATTTTCGAAATTATACAAGGATATAAAGAGCGTCAGTTCCTATAACGAATTGCACGAGTATTTCCAATTGTAATTTCACAGGCAAATGATAGAATCTGTTGGAAAGCGAGAGTCTCCATTTTACATGATCTATTTTTGTCATTTTTTTCCCGGCGTGGATTTTTTAAGTTGCTTCAGCAAGAGAGAACAGTTGACTTGCCAATGCACGGACTGGGTCTCCGTCTTATGGAAGTTTTGGGTTGCAGATCTGAAGAAGGCGCTTGCAGCTTCCTCCCGTCTGCCGCTGCGATGCTTTTCCACGGCCTCCCTGGAGGCGAGATGCACGGCGTTATAGACGAGATGGACCGGAGAGGAAAGAACGATTCAGCGGGCATCAGCTCGGCCATAGATATGGGGGAAACCGAAACGGTAGGCGACACCTACTTGTGACCGCTGCAGATTTGCACCGCGGCCGACCTCCTCTCAGAAAATGGCTACGAGAAGTCAGCGCTGGACCGCGCTAGACTATACTTTAGCATTTTGGCTGCACAGCTAATTCCTCACATTTATACCACAGTAAATAATGTTGTTCAAGAAAATTGGGAATTTCGTATTACCCAATAATACAGTATTACACATTATTCTCGTTGGTCCGCCAAAGTTAAAACATAGGTCTGTACCTAAATTAAAATTTTAGGAAATTGATAATGACTGTGGTGCTCGATAATGCAAATTAATATGCATATTGTTTAACGGGTTTTCACAAACCCGTCTGCACTGCGTTTATCTCAACAGAAAAATAAGCAAGCTTATAAATGTCATAGAGGGGCGGTCGCTGATTTTTGATTTTCATCTGCAAAATTTTATAAATGTAGTACAGAGTGTGCGAAAATCACTGAAAACTACAGTGTTCCAATTAATGATGTAGGATCTATTCCCTCAGTGCCACAGTAAAACAATTATTTTGTGCCTTTTTGAGTTATGGAAATGGGCAAATAAGTGAGTATTAAATATAACGGTGATCGTCTCATCGCGTAGTTTTGTGCGTTTGGTTTTAATTTGCTTATATGCAAATAAAATGTACACGAATTACTTGCATTATGATTTCGTAAAAGTTAAGATTTAAAAGAAAAAAATCAATAAGAACAAACATTTTTTTTTTTTACCAACAACCTTATTAACAGTCAACTAAATTAACTGTCAATTGTTATTTTGACGTCAGGATCAATTGAAGTTTCACCTTTAATTCTTTTTTCTGAGTGGAGTGGTGTTTGCGGCTTACTTTTTACCTGACCCTCAACTCTTGTTTCGTTTATGGCTTGTTCACTAATTTGGCAGTTGAGGATATTTGACTAATTATCGCGGAGAAGCGTATTTATTTATTGTTTTAGTTTTGAATCGGTCAAATATAGTAATGACGTTTTTGCACATTTCCGGGTGAAGTTGCGTTTTGTACGATATTTTCAGTTTGCTTCAAGACAGGATATAGCAGGCTTGTTTTATTCAGTCCGTTTTCTTCGTAAGTTTTGTGCGTGACTGTGCCATGATTTGTTTTCCCTTCACTCGTTACCATCGTAGCCTACTTTCCGCCCCCGGGAGTTACAAGACATTTCATTTACCTCACAGGCGACACTCCCTCGAGATGCAAACAAATCGATACCACCTATTTGTAATTAAGGTCTGATTTTCTCATCTTACCAATTTCATATGATGATCGGTAGGGTAATAATTTGAAAAACATTTTACACATTTTACAAAAACAAAACAATTGTCCTTTATTTAAAACAATTACTTTAATGCCACTATAATAAATTGATGCGTATAATAAATTGATATTTTTAATATCTAATTTATTTTCTGCCCCTCGCCTGTGTTAAAATATTACGAAAATATAAAACCAACTGGTACGTGATTATTTAAGCAAGAAAGACTGGGGAGGGGTGTCATATGCATGAATCATATGCATACATTTCCCTGCGTCATTAAAGCAGTCTAACCATCAGCGCGTGCACATTTTGAAATGCACAGTTGCACCGGTGCTCAGTGAGCGTCGCTTTGTTCCCACGCAGAGCATGCCCTCCATGAGCAATGATCGAGTGTCCCTGTGTGCGGGCTGTGGGGGAAAGATCTCGGACCGCTACTATCTGCTGGCCGTGGACAAGCAGTGGCACATGCGCTGTCTGAAGTGCTGCGAGTGTAAACTCAACCTGGAGTCGGAGCTCACCTGCTTCAGCAAAGACGGCAGCATTTACTGCAAGGAGGATTATTACAGGTAACGTTCAAACGGTCACGGCTGCTGAGAAGGGTGGCAAGCGAAGCAGCGGTGATTTTGGCCCACAATTAAATTAATTGTTGTGCTGCCCCACACTGTCGTTTTCTTTAAAAAGCCACAATAATAATAATAATAATAATAATAATAATAATAATAATATTATTATTAATAATAATAATAATAATAATAATAATAATGATACTTATTATTATTATTGTTGTTGTTGTTGTTGTTATAAGAAAATACATAATAATTATTATTATTATTTAAAATCTTATTGTTAAGTTATGACATATTCATCGATACATTTTGCGTGATAAAAAAATTATGGACATTTAAATCACAAATCACTTGCTTTTTGTTTGATAAAACGCAGTCACAAATAGAAGGTAATTTCCCTCTAATTATGCGTTGCTTACAATAAATAAGTGCAATTTTCGTTTGAAGACAATGATAAATTCTGCCACCTTGTTTGTAACACTTATTTCGCTAGTGATGCATTATTTTAGCGTACGGTTCAAACTTTAAAAAGTTTTTCTCAAGCTTCTTAAAATTTACTATTGTGATTACATTTCAGTATACTAAGTCCTCAAAATTACTATTAAAACACCATTTAACCTATCGAAATTATTGTAAATTTAATAATGCCAAATGAAATTGTATTATGTTTTGGTTTTTTTTTCTTCATTTTAACGCACACTGACACGGTTCCCTTCGACAGGAGATTCTCGGTGCAGAGGTGTGCTAGGTGCCATCTTGGAATTTCGGCCTCGGAGATGGTAATGAGAGCGAGGGATTTGGTCTACCACTTGAACTGCTTCACCTGCACGACCTGTAACAAGATGCTGACGACCGGGGACCACTTCGGCATGAAGGACAGCTTGGTGTACTGCCGGCTACACTTCGAATCGCTCATACAGGGGGAATATCAAGCGCATTTCAATCACACGGATGTAGCTTCGAAAAGTGGAGGACTGGGAACAGCCAACTCGCTGGGACTGTCGTACTATAACGGCGTGGGCACTGTGCAGAAGGGGCGGCCGAGGAAACGAAAAAGTCCCGGACCAGGAGCGGATTTGGCGGCTTACAATGCAGGTAGGTGTATTTTGTTCCTATCTGCCACTCACCCCGCTGCAAACCGTTAGAAGTGTAAAGAGGACCCTTACGTGTCATTAGAGGAAGAAGGAACCACCTGTGTCACCGGCAAATCAGCATCCACACCGGGGTTGGCGACCAGCGGTATAAAAGTGCTACCTGTTTTCAATAGCCCAGTAAATAGCATGAAGAAACAGCATTCAAGCGGTTCTAACAAACGCGAGTGCCCGGCCGCATTAACATATAATGAGTAGGATGGCGCTTCCTCATTGTACACGGGAGTAAAATGAGACACAGTTTTGATGGAGTCTGAAGTCATGCAATTAAAGGGGTAACGTCAGCCAGTGATTTTGTCTCTGCTCCCACACTTGATTTGGGAAGCACACTATTATCTAATTCTGTGGACCGGTTATGAGGCACACCCCAAAACAACACCTCAATTTTGACTCACAAAGTGTTTTGTTTGTGCGGCTGTGACACACTGTTAATAATACTAATTAAAATGCCAATTAAACCCCTGAAACGAAAGTATTATTAATAAAAAGCAATGCATTGCAATTACACGAGAATCTTGTGTTTTTAAACGCTACATAATGAAACAAATGAATGTAATAATATACTCATTAAGAGCTCGTTAAGGGCGCATGCATTGTTACTATAAGTACCTAATTCACTTTAAAAGTCGACCTCCGACTTTCAGTCGGGTAATATTCGATCCCTGACATATCAGCATATTTAATGAGGGGGAGGGGTGAAGCTTTGACTGTTGAGATCTATCATCTAAAACGTTACTTTCAACGGAGGAAACATGTTTGTTATAATGTTTTATTATAGGTTGATATGGTTTAAGGACTTATCTCACTTTATATAATTTTCCAGCACGCATTGAATAAATTTTCATTTGATTTTAGTAAATCACTAGGGCGCGTGCCTATTAAAGCTTACTCATAGTATCCACATGTGGTTATGTCGAACATTTCAGCTGGAATGAGACAGCTCTGCACAGACTTTTATAGATCTGCCTGTGTCTGCGTGAGACACTGAGTGGGCCGCAAAGACTAACGGAACCACAGCGTGTTCGCCTTGAGACATAAGCCAGGGACATATGATTCCTTCTGTACTGTGTTCATTTTCAGCTACTCAGATTTGTGTAACAGAAAAGTTTTATAAGCACATCAACCCTGTTATTCGTAATAAATATAAGGCATAATTGCAAAGTACCCTAATTTAGGTCCGTAAATCTATACTTGATATAACTTTTACATGAGTTGTATACGTTTTAACTTTTACATGAGTTTGTATGCGCACGTCTTAATGCAGTCGTTAATTTTATGAATGTTTCAGCTGCCGGGATGATAAATTTGAGATTTTTTTTATTACAAACTATCGTTTTCTTTTTAAGTGTGTTGTAGTAGTTGCATTTAATTTAACATTTATATGAATTTTGCCATCGTTTTTGTTTTTAAGAAAAAGCTTTTCTGCTTAGATTGCTGGGTGTTTATTTTATTTTTCAAACACAGAATTTTATGCTTCATTTTATTTTTTATTATGAATGCTAATGTTCATACTATTGACGTACATAAGAACACGCTGTGATTAATACAAACACTCCTTTTAATAAATACATATACTTTAGAAATACGTTATAATGTTAGCTGTTGTTGCTTTCCAATAGTATTCGATAATATAGGTTCTTATGATAACACTTTTGTTTTATTAAATGATTTTACAGAATAGAAGCGGGTAACATCAGCCTGGTGGAATTAAGAACTGTTCTTTGCATTATTATTATTATTATTATTATTATTATTATTATTATTATTATTAGCTTCGTTGGCCTTGATGTTTATAATAAATAGCAGTAATTAATGATGAGTAACGCGGTGTTACACTGAGTTCACGCATTTCTTTATGTGCCGTTTATTGGTTTAGCCCTTGGAAGCTTTGTTAGCGCAGGCAGAAGTCACTCACTGGCTGTTTCCAACACGCCGATGCCCCTCTTTCCATTGGTTCTCCTAAACTGCACGTGGCCCCTCCCCAGCTCACTGGGCTCCAGTGTGTGCTGAGGGGCGAACTGGAGAGTTTTAGACGACTATAGAGACTGACAAGTGGAAAATGGCTTAGATGGAAGCCGGAACTTCAAAAAGATTTTAAAAAGAGTGAGTGAGTGAGAGAGAACTCCTGTGATCTAAAATTTCTCCCACCACAGTCGCTTGTATAATTGTAGTTTGATGGGTTTTAGGTCAGTAAATCAATGTCTGAAATCTTGTTGAACAGACGCACCTGTAAGAAGTCCTGAATAGATTTGGCCCGTACACGATTTTTAAAAAGCCTCCCACGGCTCCGAGGAGTCTATTCTGTCCTTTCACACACGGCCAGATGCGCGGCGTCGCCGCTGCGCCAGGGGTTCTGCTTTGTCGTCTCAGGAAAGGATCCTAAGAAATAAAGTTACAATTAGCCGATAGAATCTTAAATGTGTAAGAGTTGGATTAAAGAACGCCACGACGACACTGCAGTGACGACAGGCCTGCTGCTGGTGGTGGCGGTGGTGATGATATTCCGTACGACGAAGAAAATGGAATGATATTTGATTAGTTTTAAGTCAATTTTTTAAAAATTATTTGGCACTATATATAGACATATTATATAGGCCAGCAATAATATAATAATACTATAATGTTATAGTACAATACGTCTATATAATATAATGCACTGCACATTAATTGCATGCGCATATATATAGTTTTCGTTTGCGTAATGATTTAAGATAATATGATTTAATCCAATCAGAAGTCTGCGACAGGAAAGCATGTCATATCATATCGCCATAAAACTACCGCCGGCTCCCTTTTATGAAGTGCCCTGTATTGCGGCTTCAAGTAGCGCATTGTTTCCTTCATCTCAATTCCATTAACGAACCCTCCAGTGCCATTAAAGACAATTTGAATAATACAGGCAGAATTAGTTAGAGCATCTGCTAGCTCACGAGCCACTCGCGACTAGTTAAAAAATATGCAAGTCCCTTCCTCATCGAAAATATTTACGCCGCCTTAAAATTAGAGAGTACGAAATTAAACAAACAGAAGCAAAACAAAACAAACAAAATGAAGTAGCCTAACGTTCTCCACTATTTAAAAATATGTTTGACTTTTTCCGCTTAAATGACTTTCTGATCTCTAAATTTAACAATTGCCTTGCGCAAAATATCAAAATATTTTAACAGTAAACCAATATACATCTATCCCACCAACCAGAAAGCCATTAAATGCATTACTGAGATTTTGAAGGAGCCTAAACTTTTGAAGGAGAACTTAAACTTTTAAGATCGATCAGTATAGTTTATTGAGTAACGTTTGATTATGTCCTAAATGTGAATCTTTTTCGTAATATATTTCCTCCCTTAACACTTGAATTTAACTTATTTTCTCTGTCCAGAGCGTGTAGTATACGTTTTAAACAATGGCGCTTTAGCGTAGTTTATTAAGTAGCCTAAATAGTGAAACGGTTTGCGGGCGATAGTGATGGTCTCCTTCAGGATTCAGAAGAGGTTAAGGTGTGTCGCCTGTGGTCCTCTGTTTAGCCGTGTTTGGTGCTCAGCGCTCAATCAAGAATTTACCAAAGCCATATTTACGACAGATAACATATCTTGACTTCATGTAGAATCTGGGCTTTTTGTTCCACAATTCCGGGCAATTTCACCATCCCGTGTTTAATCATACGACTGACAATGATTTGGGAGAAAATTAACCTTCTCTAGTTGTGGTTAGGGACTGTGCACTGCCTCGAATGCATTTCCCTCCACTACATTGAAATATGCAATTATATTATAAAATATGTTATAAAATAACAAAATATTCGCCAATGAAATTGATTGTTTAAATATTTTCAATAGATTTGGGAGTGCCGTGAGTACGAATGGCTCTGTTAATTGTGTTGGAAATAATAATGTAATTTTAAGGAGGTCAGTGACTACTTAGCCATGTTTAGAATGTATTACAATTTGCAATTATGGGTGATCGTTCGCGTAGCATTTGTTATATACGATTGTATTTTTGCGGTCGCTATTGTTATTTGAGTAAAAGTTGTACAGCGCAATGGATAACATTAAGCAGGCTTTGGAACTCTGCTGCCCTCTTGAGGGGGTATAATGGATAGACGCATCTCGACAGCAACAACATCGAAATTTGTACATGAAAACATATTTTCTTTTATTTACTTGTTCTTTGGAAAGTTGAATGACAGACATGACCATTGTGCGTGGTATAATCTGTAAATTAGCATGCTTCCGATGAGCATATTCAATTATGATTTCGCACATAAGGATGTGTTGCGTGGAATCTCAATAACAGGGAAATTAGTCTGTATACGCATAATTTGTCAATAAAAAGAAAAACTCCAACATAGACACGAAGGGAAATAATGTTGTGTAAAATGCACGTATTTTAAAATGCAGCGTTGCTAAAGGTATATTTATCCAAAAAAAAAGTGTGATTTGATTTGACCACGGCACTCCTGTAGCAACATTGGCCTAATATTGTTTGTGATTGTTTACAACTGTAGCGTTGAGAAAATTGCAGGGTAATTACTGAAGAGTGTTGCTTTGTGAATTGTGAATCAATAATATTTTTCTTTTTCACAGAAAATATTTCTGAACTGTTACACATCCAGCAACACTTAAATCCCTGCCAAGAAACTGTTCGGCGGGAAAAAAATGTTTCAGTGCGTCTTGTGGTACCAAACATCCCTGGAATTCAGGCGAAACGTATTTGTTTCCGTTTATCCGCTAATTATTTCAGCTCCTCCAAGTCCCCGAAGTCTCCTTTTTTCAGAACAAAAGTGATTTAACAGGAAAGCATAAAACGAAAAAAACACCGACATATACATAAATTTACGCAAACACACACTTAATTATATCTACAGCATTATGTAATACATAAAATATATCATAGCCTTAAATATTTGCAGAATAGCATTAGTTTATTCCTGAAAGTTTCATTTTGTGAGTTAACTTTGTCGCCTCTTTTTGTCACGACGGTGGATCGTTGTTTCTTTTAACGCCGGCCCGCTGTCGCAGGTGTCCAGGTAAAAGCAGCCGCTCACCCCAGACCATCTGCCGCCTCATCGCAGCCCACTCGGGTTTGGAGTAAAAGATCCCTGAAACTGATTTCTACATGGCAAAGCCGGCGAGGGGGGATGGGGAGACATCCGCTAATTACCAAATGTATGCCCGTCCGACAGACAGACAGACGGTGCGCTCCCGTTCCGCTCCGGAAAGCGGCCCCGGTGGGCAGCGTGGGCCGATCTCGGCTTATTTCACCAGCCCGACGCGCTTCCGATATGCGCATCCTGCGAGCGGCACCTGGCTGACGTGTCATGCAGCTTTTAGGCAGGGCCTTGATTTCTAGGTTTATTTCAGTCCTCGGGACAGCCGCAGTGCGATAATCTGTCCTTAACTGACATTTATATAACCCTCAACCTCCTAAACACATCACATCGCGGAACACTTCATACTATATAAATACTGTTTTATCACTTCCTGTCCGTTAAAGTGTCTTTGCAGTTCTTTCAGGCACAAGTAAAATTATTTCAGGAGTTTTCAAAAATTATTTATTTATTCCAAAGCTACATTTAGGTTGAAAACGAGGCAGAGAGTGACAGGGGAAAATGACGTTCTAGTCTGAGTCTGAGCACTCCGAACTGAACCGTGACAAACCGCGCCGTACCGAGTGAGGCGGCTGTCGGCGTGTCTAACAGGTCAGGTGCCGAAACAAAGAAGATCCTCTTCTGAATAATGACACACAAGAGAGAAAAGTTCATATCTAAATAATAACATTTAATTGGCAACAGTAGTTGTTCCCCATAGTATAAAATGTCAACGTTTTTCTTGGCTACAAACATAAATGTTAAATATTAGATAATCATTTAAATATTATCATTAATTAGTAATCAGTTGATCGCTCTCTGATTACATGATGGCCTCAATGTTTAACACAACACCCAAGATGTCATATGCTGAAGTCACACATATGATGAACACAGGACAGCCGACATTCCGTCCTCACCATGTAATGTATATAACACACACACACACACACACACCAGCAGCAGCCACGCTCGGGCCCCGTCTACACCTGCATATCTGACCTCTCCGCCAGCTGGCCCTGTTTCCGTCACGCGCCGAGCCCCTGCTCCCACATACGCCGCCGCCACGGTCACACGGGGCCCGGCTCTTGGTCCTTTGAGGGCCACAGGCCACTTTGGTGGAACGGAATGCTTGAATAAACACTGCTAAAATAATAAATAACAATGATGAAAAATGAACATTAATGTAAAAGGAGGTAAGACCCCATATGAACTCCCTGTCTTTCTGTGTGGCCCCTCAGCCCTGAGCTGCAATGAAAACGACGGGGACCTGCTGGACCGGGACTCCCAGTACAGCTCCAGCCAGAAGACCAAACGCATGAGGACGTCCTTCAAGCACCACCAGCTGCGCACCATGAAGTCCTACTTCGCCATCAACCACAACCCTGACGCCAAGGACCTGAAACAGCTGGCGCAGAAGACAGGCCTGACCAAGCGCGTACTGCAGGTGAGAGCCCCGCCCCCCCAGGCTCACCACCCAATCAGTGCCAACAGCCCTCCCCATCGCCCCTCCCACTCCCCCACCAGGAGAAGGTGCGGAAATGACATGAACTGAGTTCAAATAAAAATGAGAAGAGAAGTGAGACGACAGAGCAGGTAGCAGCATCATTCGCGCAGCTCACGGGGAAAGCGGTGCACGGAGTGCTCAGTGGTGCGAGAGAGCAGCAGCACATTCCGCAAGGAGAGGGAGGAGTGAGGGCAGAGGAGGAGGCCCGTGAACCGAAATCCGGAGGAGTGGGGGAAAAGCCCTCAGCCCTAATTAACAGAACGGGGAACAAAGAAGTCGTTTTGCTTTGATGAACTCCAGTAGCCTGTGACCCCCCTCCCAGCCCCCATCCCCCTTCAGCCCCTCTACATGTCCTGAGCTGTGCTCTCTCCTGATTGGTCCCCACAGGTCTGGTTCCAGAACGCCCGCGCCAAATTCCGGAGGAACCTTCTTCGGCAGGAAAGCTCGGGGGTAGACAAAGTGTCGGACGGGTCGGCCCTGCAGGGGGGCACCCCGTCGGGACCCGCCTCGGAGATCTCCAACGCCTCCATGAGCCCATCCAGCACCCCCACCACCCTGACGGATCTCACCAATCCCACCATGCCCACTGTCACCCCCGTGCTGACCGCCGGGCCCCTGGACGTGCACGAGTGCCGCAGTCCCTCACAGACCACCCTCACCAGCCTCTTCTGATGCCACAGCCCGCCCCCCCACACCCCCCCACCCCTCCACATGAGGCACTGAAATGGGGGGGCAGGGGGGGGGGGGCAAGTGACATAGGGGCCTTACTGAGCTGCTGTCATGTGCTTCACATCCTGCTTTATCTCCCAGAGAGCTACGGGAAACTGGCCTCCTGTTCTGTCACACCTCTCTGTTTGTTTTGGCCATGTTTACAGTCCGGAGTTCGGAAAGCCAGCGGGCGCCCTCACGTTTGGGGGCGACAGGGGGGCATTGACACGAGGGAGGACACCATTGAGAAAAGGAGAGCATTTGACACACGTGATGCAGGCCGTGACCGCGAGACCGCCGTGTGCCTTATTCACCGTGGCTTTCCGCGTGTCCCGGGCACCCACTCCGATGCCATCGCTCCGTTTTGCATCCCAACACAATCCCCCACGTGACTGTGTCTGCCCCCCCACCCCCGACTCGGATACAACATCTAGAAAGCTGTGTTTGGAGCTAAAGAGCTCCGCCCCCTCTCTGTGGGAAGATCCCACCCCCCCGGCATCCAGATTCAGCGGACACACACAATTTGCACAACCCCTCGCCTGCGGACCCCCCCTTCCCCGGGGGTTTGAAAGGAGAGAGAGCACCCCCTAATGGCAGCCAGATGTCAGTGCGTTAGCGTAACCTGTAATTTATTATGTTAAAAAGAACATTCTTATTTATGCCATAAAATATATAATTAAAATGAAGACAGTAATGCAAAAGAAAAAAAAACAGTCGTGGAGATTATAGACAGAACAAAAAGTCAGGCCAGTGTAGAGGTGGATGGATAGACAGATTTTTAATAGATTAATTTTTAACGCTGTGTTTTTACTGCCCCCCCAAGAAAGGAAACACCAGTGACTCTGACCTTGGTATCTGTGTGTGGCCTGCTGGGGGCCGGGGGGGTGTCTCCGCAGTAAGGCTGTTTCCAGTCACTCAGATTTCTCAGTGACTCGTATTTGTGGAGGGATTCCTCCAGGGGGACACGCAGGATGCAGAGAGGAGGCTGCTGACTTGTCACAGACCTGGGCGTGGCCACTGCCACCCAGTCACAATCTGATACCTCACTGTAGTCAGGAGTGGAGCAGCACAGTCCTGGATGCCAGCGTGAGAGCGCCTCCTTCTGGTGGCGTAAAACGGTGACTTGACGCACCCAGCTGATCTTCTTACCTCAGCCCACATGTCGCTGGATGTGGCTACGATGCACTGAAGACCGAAACGGTAACATTTTTAGCAAGATCCATATCTTTAAGTCGGAGAAAGGGGAGGTGTGCTTGGGAAGGCGCCTGGACGCGGAACGCCGCCCCCCCGTCGCCGTCACACACATCCACGGCGGACACACCGTCGCTTTTCCTTTATTCCATTTTGTATGACAAATCAGGGATTTCTCTCTCAAAAAAAGATAAATCGACACTTACAATGGATGGGCCGGGGGGACGTACGAACGACCCCACTGGGCGAATAGCTTCGCTTTTGGGAGCCCCGCCCCCAGGTCCGCAGAGTGAGGGGGCGGGGCCACACTGCGCTGTTCTTCGGGATGCTGTGTCACCCCCTCCTTGGCCGAGCTCTTTTCATGTTTTCGTTCTTTCTGCACATTCTTGTACAGTTCCCTCATTTGATGTACTTTAGTCTTCAGTTCTGTAAAAAAAATATTAAAGAGTTAATAATATGCCTTTGGAGCTCCTTGTGTTTGTTCATACAACACGTAGCACATGTATAATCATACTGAGCTTTATTACCGAAAAAGCCTCACGTTGGGGGGGCGTACCAAGGGTCAGAGTGTTATTTTGTAACCCTATAAATAAAGTTCCTGTGATCCTGACCAGGATAAATGGCTGGAATTTGGATGGATGGATGGATAGACAGATGAGATGTTTTTTGATTATGTTTTTCTTGATAAAAGACAGGAAAGGTCAGATGTGTCATCACTGTGTGACAAGGTGCGTAAACTGAGCCATAGCTGATGCCACCTGCCTCCAGGGTCAGGGGTTCCAGCCCCGCCTCCAGTCTGTGTCTGCAGACTATGTGGCCTCCTTGTGTCGTGTGCGGGTTTTCCTCCAGGGTCTGTAAATCATCCACGGCATGTGAGTGAATGAGCCCAGCCTGGTTTAGAATGGAACAGCACAAACTAAGTAGCTTGGGGTCAACAGGCTGGGCCAGTGATGATGACCTACAGCAAAGTCCACTTCTCAATGGACAAGAGAAGGCCCATTCCCACCCGCTCCGAAAGAGAGAACAACCCAAGTCTAACAGCAGACTTCCTGTGCGCTCTTTCAGCAAACCCAGTGTCTCCAAATATGAAGCAGGACAAAGTTAAACCTTTCCAAATCATTAGGACCTGAGGCACCCCCATAACTGAACAGAAATTGTGACTAAACAAACAAAGCTCTTTTCTTTCCACGCGAAAACGTTGATTGCGGTTGGCGCTTGTCCCAGGAGCCCGGTCATAAAATACATCGTTCAGAGGGGACATTCTCCTTTAAGCATGGAAATGTGTGTTTGATTTCGTTATGGCACCAGTGTCAGCCGGTCCAGCTGAATTCAGTCAAAGTGCCATTTAGGAACGTACCCTGAAGACGCGACACTGAAGCGGCATTCAGGGTCCCCATCCCCCTATCCATTTCAGTCCCACAGAAAAGAACAAGGCACATGAAAGAAAGGTGGCATGAATTTAAAAAGGCGCTTTTCTCGTCGGATCGTTCCGTTCTGGTACCGGTACCGGAGGTTGGCGCTCGGTTTGACTATGGCTGTGCTCCTGCGGCGCGTCTCTGGCATCTCCCGCGGCAAAATGTCACTGTCACACAGCGGAAAATAATGACAGCTTTCCGTAATGAAAAACACTCACTCCGGAGATAAAGGGAATGCAGGTCCTATACTGTCCAATTAGTATCGAAAGCAGTAGCCTATGGATCGCAGTGAAGGGCGCGTCTATTATAATACCGATAGTATCTAGTAGGTACTCTTCACTTAACGATCTACCTGTTTAACAGCCCCCCGGACCCACGACTAGCTCTCCGACCTGTCGGTATCATACACTGTACGGAAACTTTGGCCGGCGTCAAGCAATTATGCGGATTAAAACAAAGTTATCACGTTAGACTTTCCTTTAGACGATTTCTTCATTCAGAATAAATAAGAACGATTACCTGTATTTGCAGTATGCAAACCTAAGTAATGTATTTTAGAGTGGATTTCCTCTATTCTGTTTATTACGCTATACAGTACACTACACTATATATAAACAGGGATGCAGATAACTGGTAGGGAAATACGCCACTGAAAGCGATATGTGCAGCAAAAGATGGTTGTAAAAGTGCAAATGCGCACTTATTTTATGTGCATATGTGATGCTAGGACAAGAAATTACCGTGTATTTTAACTTTTATACCACGAATGAAGTACGAATTAGCATATAACGGTTAAAATGCGCGACAATTTGTCATATCAGCGCAAATGTACCTACATAAAATAAATACCACATCTGCAATGTTACAACAATCGATTGCCGCATGCACGGCTTCAAGGGTGAATGCGTGCTTGCATACCAGTTATGTGCATCCCTGTTTTTAAATATAGGCCTACTAAAATTGTTATAGGCCTAAATAGTGTAAAGGTAACATTAAAACCATATCTTAAAGATGATTGACACAAACCCAATACCCAATTCCCGGTGTTCTGTCGATATATGCTGCCTTGTCGAAAAATGCTACCGTAGTGCTAATCGATAGCCCTAACCCTAACCCTAGCTCTTACCCTAACCCTAACCCCCCAAAACCCCTAAAAACCTTACCTTAACCGCTAAAACCTAACCCTGATCCCAAGACGGTGGAACTGCACATGCGCAGTAAGGCTCGATAGCTCGTCTCGATAGGTAGTGTTTTATGACAGAACACGGGCTTATCGACCAATTCGCTTAACGACCTAATCGTAGGAACGGAACTCGGTCGTTAAGTCAGAAGTGCCTGTATACGTCTAGAAATTATTAAGTAAGTCGCTGCGGCGGAGAGGCCATGATTACATGTCATACAGTGAATAAATGTCACCTCGCCTAAAGACACGTGTTGGTTTAAGCAGACTGGTAGTATCTGGCTTTTTCATCCCGATGTGAGTGGAGGCTCTCTGCATCTCCAAGGCATACTCATTTACGGCAGCATCCTTAAACTAAAAAAAAAAAACATCGCTCCTCCAGGAACACGTGGCGAAAACGTCGGGGAAAAAGCCACATATAAAATCCGACAGTGAAAAATTAGATTGTGATTTAGGAGCGAAGCGTCGCGCCACATCGCAGGCTGTTTTTATGATAAATGAAATACGGCTCTTTTAGATGCTGGATAGCAGCACGTTCGGACCCCCTCGCTGGAGCCACGGACAGCCGGGAGCAGCACTGGGAAGGGGAACCTGTGAAGGATGGTACCTCAAAAGCACAGAGACTGAAAGATGAGGGAGCCCTGGATCTACAATATGAAATGCTGTGGGTTAGTGGGGTGCAAGGAGCTCTGTGTAAAATGCTCTAGTAAAATATGGGGAAATTGTAATTGGACATTTAATATAGAAGAGAGTTAATCGTGTAATACAAATGGCTGGAAGGTGGAGGGGGTCCCTACTGTGGGTAAGTCTTCGTTACCATCTGTAATCTCTTACCCACCATTTACTCGTGGTGTGATGATTAAACAGAGCATGTGAGGCGGAGGGAGAGTGGGATCATGCCGGCAACTCGTGCATCGCACCACATGTGAGGCGTTTACCTTGTTCACCTGGTGCACTGACCATACGCTGATAAGAGAGGCGCTCAGTGACAAACATCTCCTGAAAGCTCATGTTGAGCCGTCTGTCCTATATTGCACACGCATCCTCGTGCTGCAGAAGCTGTACAGTTTCCTGTCCTGTCCAGAATCAGCAGAAGCATGCAGACAAAAATGTTACCCAATGGCCACTCCTGGACACAGACGACTTCGAGTTTATTACACAAAGAAGCCTGGAAGGCC